CCCTAACGCACTATGTCTGACGGCACACCTCTTCGCCGAAACCCTAAGAGAACTCGGCGTACTCCTAACGATGATTCAGGCCCTAGCAACCCGATCCCTCCTCAACCCATCGAAACCCAAGGCCGCGGCATGCCCATCCCTTACACTCGTCTCTTCAGAGGCCCAACCTACAAGATTTTATTTGAAACTAGCTTCGTCAATCATCAGGTTGCCAAGGGTAAATGTCTTACAGAAGAGATATGTGATGCCTTTAACCTTAATACCTACAAGCTGTTCAAGGATATTGGACTGGAATAATTCGTTAAATTGGACATTCCTTACTATCCGCGTATTGTAAGGGTTTTCTACACGTATCTTGAAAGAGTTGGTAGAACAAGAAATATTCGTACATTTCTAGGCTTTGCTTCACATACATTCAATGAAGAAGAAATTGGGGCTGCCCTAGAAATTTTTCGAGGAAGAATTCAGCATTATTCCACTCACACTTGGTATGTTGCAGATGATTTTGATAAACACGAAGCTATGCAGCAGATTTGGTACAACAAATCCCTCACCAATATCTCCATCATTAAAACCAAACAACTCACCCTTGAGGCTTGGGTTCTTCACAATATCATTACCTATAACTTCCTTCCCAAGTTCGGTAGCCATGATCGTGTCACCAAGATGGAAGTCTTTCTGATATGGTGTGTATTAAATGGCAAACAGTTCGACTTTGCTTATGTCATGCTCAATCACATGCTCAAGTGCCAGAATAGAAAATCTAGATCTCTTGGTATGTTGCAGATGATTTTGACAAACACGAAGCTGTGCAACAGATTCGGTACAACAAATCCCTCACTAATATCTCCATCATTAAAACCAAACAGCTCACCCTTGAGGCTCGGGTTCTTCATAATATCATTACCTATAACTTTCTTCCTAAGTCTGGTAGCCATGACCGTGTCACCAAGATGGAAGTCTTTCTGATGTGGTGTGTATTAAATGGCAAATAGTTCAACTTTGCTTATGTCATGCTTAATCACATGCTCAAGTGCCAGAATAGAAAATCTGGATCTCTATATTTTGCCATGCCTCTAACTCTTCTATTCACAAGATGGAAGTTTCCTCTCGACTTTGAAGAATATGAAATGTTTGGGCCAAAAGATAAATTTAGTCCCTCTCAAATGAAACTCATGGGGCTTGAACAGGATAAGTAGGGCACCTGGTTCTACCCTAGGCAGAAAAGGTGGGAAGACGCCCTTGCGCGGGGAGAAGAATCAATTGGTGAGGACAGTGAAGCTGAGGAACCTCCCGGTACTGATGGTGAGGCTGACCATGAGGATGGCCCTGCACTCGCTGACGCTGATATCCCATCTCATACCCCTTCTACGCGGGATATCTTATTGAAGCAGCTCGACATCTCGCGTCGCATGGAAACTAAGATGGATGCTCTCACCCACCGTGTGGACACATTGGCTCTTCGCTATGATGACATGTAAGCCAACCTTGCTGAGATTCGTAGCGCTTTGGACCTCCCTCATTTCTGATGCTACCAAAGGGGGAGAAATGAGTAGTTGATGTGTAAATCATGTAAAGGAAGTACTATTGAAGTATCATGTCAATCTTACTTTAGGCCTAACTTAGGACATATTTTGTGGTCTAGGCTAGCTGTTTTGTTTCAAAGACACCTTGATGTTATGTGGTCTACTGTTTTGCTTCAATATCCATCATGTACTAAAATCTACATTAAATGGATTAACATGTTATAGATATATATGTGTTATGTTTCAATGAAGCCTATATCTACAAAATGACAGGGGGAGATTAAAATCTCTATAAACTCTATGCTGAATGAGTACAATTCATAATAAGCATGTGTCTTATAAGAATTTAAATTAATGCCTACTGACAGGGGGAGTACCCTTCTTATGTTTATAAAGAACACATCAATGATTTGTCATCATCAAAAAGGGGGAGATTGTTGACCCTACGGATTTTTTCTAAGGGCAATTCGGTACTTTTGATGATAACAAACCATTAATGATGTTCAGTGGACTAATGTTTTCATTAAAGTTCATTCCAGATCAAAAGGAACATTATAAGGTCATGAAGGAAGTACCCAATTCACTGGAGCTAAAATCACAACTGGAACATACCATCAAGATACAACTGGCTTCAAAGATCATAAAAGCTTACCTATGGGGTAGGCAGATTGGTGAGTGGCTTAGGAGCAAAATGTAAAGAGTCTGTGATCAATTGAAGCTCTCTCTAAGGTCATACATCATTCATTCATTTCAAACCATCATATACAGATTCTAAGGCATCAAGTGCATCAAGATAATGGGCTAAGACAACTCAGCAAGCTAAGTCTGAAATTCAGCCGCCACAGTTAAGCCGAGACTCATCAAAATCAAAATACAACTCAGCTGCCTCTCTTCTCAACTCAGCCGCCTCTCTTCTCAACTCAGCCGCCTTTCTTCTTAATTCAACCGCCTTTCTTCTCAACTCAGCCGACTGAATTAGGTCGAGGCTCCATCACTTTCAGAATCTTGAAACTACTCAACTCAGCCGTCTCTATCACTAACCAAGCCGTCTCACTCTTGAACTGAGCCGACTCAGTTCTCAACTTAGGCGACTTAGTTTTTTGGTTAAGTAGATCTGACCTTGAAATCCTCCTTACTTCAACCCGTGTTTCTCTTTGTGCTTTTACAGTTTGACTCATATTCACTGACATATTGTGTGTCTTCTAGCTCTTGTTTTGATGTCAACAGCCATTTTATCTATTAAAGGTTCATACACATGATTTCAAATCTCATCTGCCTTATGCACTGAACACTTCTGTCAAACAAGGAATCTCTGTCATGGGAAGCTTCTCTACCAAATGTGCCATGAAAAGTCTTAATCAAGAAAAGGACTTTCAACGGCTAAGTCAAGGGTTTACAACGGTTATGGTCTATGAAAGAGCTCTATATATGTTATGAGAAACAAGCTGCAAAAATAGTCTCTGAGCCTTATTTTCAACAAGTGATTCATATCATCTTACTGAGAAAGAAAGTTTGGCTACCCTCCACTCTTTAATCCTCAAAGCTAAACTTCAGATTCTTCTTTCACACATACATCATTTAGAGAGAGTGAGCTTCATTTGTATCATTGGATTCTCTAGAAAGAGTGAACTGTAAACTGTGAGAGAAAGATTGTTATAACACACTTATTCATTTCCTTGTAAGATTAGGAGAAGAAATTCTCTTAGTCCAATTACTGTAAGGGCTGGTTTAGCCCCTAAGATTTTGAGAGAGAGTCTCTCAGCAGGAAGAAACTGTTTCTTTCAAGGTTTACTCTCCACCCGTAAGGAGGAGCCATATTGGATTGGGAAGTCTCAAGAGGGGTCTTGAGCCGAGGAGTAGGAGCTTCCGAACCTCGCTAAAATCGTTGTGTCTATGTTTGCAATATCTCTATCTCTCCACTTTACATTATTGCTTACATTTATATGCTGATTTATCTAACTTGATTCTGTTATCTCACTATTGCATATCATCTTAAGTAGTTATCCTAAGAATACTTCTTCAAACCTTTAAATTTGTTTTAGTTGGACAAGTTGGACAAGGGCTCTACCCCTCCCTCTCCCCTCTAGAGTCCATTCTTGGGCAACAATATTGTTTGTTATGAATTAAAAATAGAAAAAAAATATTTTAATTTGACAACCTCATTTATCCATTGTCATATATGTTCTTCTCTCCATTATTTCTTTACATATTATTTATGGACCTGTTAACAGAAAAAAAAAAAAAAAAAAAAAAAAAAAAAAGAAGTCTAAAATGCGCTAAAAAAAAAAATTGTTACAATTTTTATTTTATTTTTTAGAAATTCAATTTTATACTTAGTAATTTGACCCCAACTTTATATTTCTGGCTCCATCCCTGCGCATAAGCCATGTTAAATGAATCACAATATATGCTATCTTCGAATTAGTGTGATAAAGTCAAAGATCAATTGTTGTATTGACCTTGACCAACTTTAGAATCGTCTCAATTATGATCATGGGTCTAGAACATCCAAATAGGAAATTAGTAGTATATATTATAGTTGATGAGTATGACAGTGATGAACGATATCCAAAGCATATGGGTATGAAGAATCTATCATGCTTAATTTTGAGGTAGAAATGGAATTCTTGAATCCTAATTTTTAGAGTAGGCCAATCAACAAGTTCAATATGACTCATACACTAACAAGGTTGAAATTAGGACCCAAATACCCTTCAGAGGAGATTCTGTGGCCATCTTATCCACCAAAATGATGCATTATGATTCTATGAAGTGAACTTGCATTGGACTATGTACTTTATCACATTAATTGCTTCATTTTGGTGTATAAGACGGGCATAGGAGGGGATTCTCTTCCCCAAAATTAATGTAGTTTTTAGCATTGTTTATTAAGATATTAATGCTGGTCAAGGCTCAAACTCAATAAGTATAATTTATTAACCAGGCCAACGAACTGATAGTGTTTGTTGGACAGGAAAAAAAAAAAAAAAAATCCAATTATTGAGATGAAAGTAAATATTGACAAAGGCGAAAGGCCTAAACAAAGCTGAAGCCCACAAAAGGAGGCCCAGTGACCCAGTCTAGATAACAATGGCTTCTGGACTCTACAATGGCAAAGCCCACTTGTAATTCAACACTAGCAGAGTGGCCCAGTGTAGATAACAATGGCCTGTGGACCCTACACTGGCAAAACACACCGCTCTACACGGTCAGTGGCCCAGTCTAGAAACAATGGGCTTAATCCCAACTTGCCATTGTTTGCTGTGCTAAGCTTGTTTGCCCCCATGGGCCCCTACCGGGTCCATATATTTTTGTGGACCCAACGATGCAAGTGTCCAGCTGTAATTCAAAATGGCAACGACCAGTCGTAATTAAAAAGGTCAACAGATCAAGAAGGCAAAACCGATAGAATGACAAAAATAACCTACAAAGTTATTGCCCCTCTTAAGGAAGGTCTCTTCTCTTTAATGGGTTAAGAGTACAAACTGAGGAGAGTGTACAGACTGAGGAGACCGACAACCTGAAGAAAATATGACCGTTGGAGAGTCCAACAAAAGGCAGGCGTTTTCAAAATCTTATCATTATTATTTTAATCCAACAAATTGAATTTCCCATCAATGCATCGAATCCGATACCATCGAACAGTCTTGACACTTAGATAAAGCGCAACCACATGATATATACCTCTCCTTTATTTCTCTCTCTATATACTCTCTCTCTCTCTCTCTCTAGAAGTTTCTCTCTCTCTACTGGGTTGAGTTGATTGTGGGTGATATGTCATTCTAAGAAATCAAACAGGAAGAAGAGCTTGTGGTGCGTCGACGTTGATGGCGAAGAGGAACGCAGAGGAGATGATTGCAGCAGAGGGGGTGGAGGTAGAGAGAGAAAGTGAGGCTCATCCGTACGCGTTTCATGTGTCTGGACCTCGCAATGTTCCTTCTCCTAATTGGAGAGATCTAATCAACTCTAGTTGGTCAGTACCCTATATCTCTTTCCATATTTATGTATATATAACTTTCCATATCATGTGAAATGAATGCACACAGCTCATACATATTACATGTTTCTATGAGTGGTACTTTGGGTATTAAACAAAATTGTGTTTGCGTTTTGCTACTTATTTCCATTTTTTTTCTTTTCCTGATGATGGAATGGTAGAGGATTGTTCCGATATGATGGATTCGCATTTTGCCCAATTTTTTTGCGTCACACATAATTACCCATTTGTCTCGTTGGAACCTTCTATTTGGATGGTGATTCAATTTGCCCTATTTTCCTAACGCTAACTATTGAAATTTGGGGGTTATCAAATTGTTCATCTTTGAACACTGATTGATTCAACAATCTTAGTCTTTCTGGATTTGTAGTGGAAATGGAGGGATGATTCTTTAAAAATAAATAATAAGAAAAATAGAAAATAAAAAGGAGGAAGGAAAACTCAGAATCTTTGAACACTGATTGATTCAACAACATTCTTAGTCTTCCTGGATCTGTAGTGGAAATGGAGGGATGATTCTTTATTAAAATAAAAAAATAAAAAAGAGGTAGGAAAACACAGAATTACTGAAAAAGTAAACTGAACAGTGAAAATGAAGTGCAACAACTGAATTACTGATTGAACTGGAAAAATTAGAAGGATAAAGGGTTATAGATACATGAAATTTAGAGCATTAAACTAGACTAGGGTCACAATGGAACATGTAGGAATACTGAAAGAGATGACTGGCCTTAGTGGTGTGGTTGTGGTTGTGGGTGGTGGTTTTGAGAAACTAGCTATCTGTCAGTTGACTCAGTTCGTTTCTTTCTGATTTTATCTAACTGATATTACTTATTTCTGTTTCTTTAATATATGCTTGGGCTGCCAAGATTAAGAAAACAAGTTTAAGTCTGAGAATAACAACTTTCTGCAAATAAATTATGAAAAAAAAAAAAAAAAAAACTTTCTGCAAATAATTTCAAAAGTTAGCTTTCTATCCATCCACTCCACCCTACAAACACTGGTGAATGGCCTTAATGGCCGTGTTCTAACCATTTGGAACTGAGAATTCAAATTTTCTTCTATTTCTTTTGGGATTATTTGGTGCTTATTTTTCTATTTCTTACATGGGGATTAGATGCAGATCTGTAAATACTCATTTTTTTTTAGTGGGAAATGTGTGTCTTGTTTGTCCCTCTTGTTTCCTTTAGCCTTAGAAAGTATCACTAATGGTAGTGGTAAGTTGTGAGTCAAGGACTCATGAATTTACGCATTTTGTTATAAACTTGTGGTGGTAGAGAACATGTAGTCATAAGCACACATTAGAGGATGTTGTTAGGTAAAATAGGGATTGATATCTTCTTCATAAGCACACATTAGAGGATGTTGTTAGGTAAAATAGGGATTGATATCTTCTTCAGTATGAAATTTCCAGAAACCATATAGAAGATCAAGACCATTACAAGTTCTTCAGTGATGCGTATGGCGATTGTGAGGACTGCTTGTCCAACCCTTTTGGCAAAACTTTTGATTGCCACATTAAATGATTCCACAAATTATTAGCAAGACGATATCGAACTGTAGGTCAAGGGTAACAACAAAATCTCATGCAATTTTGTGGCAACTTATGAAACTTATAAATAGGAAAGAAAATTTGATACATTTATATGGATCCAACTAGTGTCACTGAGTCTCTGACTATAATGCAAAAGAACTACTCTTATGGAATAAGGGGATCTAATCAGATCTCCTACACTTTATGTAGCACATTTGTCTAGAAGAACAGTTTTGAAATGTATGCATTATTCCTGGGACTAAATTGATTCCTCGGTTTAGCAAAACAAAGAAAGAAGGACAGGAATTACCATTCATGTCAACGAAGGTTGCATTATTTTGTGCAAGGCAACCATGTTCTAGTGGGAGGGCCTAGATTAAAGGTGACAAATATTGTGTAGATGTATTTAAGTGATAACAATATTGTAAAGGGGGTAATCAATTGATTTCTGGTATGTTATGATAATGATTAAAATAGTTGTTTTGCTTTGATTTCAAATTATTCCCTCTATATTGGAAAAAAAAAAATAGAAGGACCAAAATTTCTTGTACTCTTTCTTAGATATTCAATTGGTAACTTATTAGATGGTGAAAGTAATACAGAAATCTTTGTGTTCTTTTCGTGGTTCATTTCTTTACTTATATTTTCTCAATTACCCTTTTATTATTGAATTGAATTTATTTTCAAAGTGGTACAAGGCATTCTTGACATATTTTTTTAGCTAATTATCTATTTGGTTTCTGAGATTGTTGAGGATAGTTATAAATCTGGGACTTGTTAAAGGATCAAACAGGTACAAAAAAGTGAGCATTTTCGTTATTTAGGTTCAATTATTTAGAATGAAGGGGAAATTGGAGATGAAGTTAATCATAGAATTGAAGCTAATTGTGATAAATGGAGGAGTGCATCAAGCATATTGTGTGATCGTTGTATCCAAGGTAAGATTGAAAGGGAAGTTCTATAAAACAGTTATTTGACCGGCCATTCTTTTTGGGAAAGATTGTTGGCCAGCTAAGAAACTGTATGTATATTCATGAAGTGAGTGTGGCAGAAATATTAATGTGAGATGGATGTGTGTGGCAAGACAAGAATGGATAGAATTAAAATTGAACACATTCATGAGATGGTTTAAGGGTCCGTTTACTAACGCTTTCACTTTCTTACTTATACTTTCTTCAAAAGTAAAATCATAATAATTTTACTTTTGTTGAGATGAAATAGAAAGTAAAATGATGTTTAATAAGAAGATTTTATTTTTAATATTTTGAAAGTGAAAAACAGAAAGTAAGTTTAACAATTTTAATTTTAATTTTGCTTTCCTCTTATCTTTCTCTCTCTAATTTTTTTTTATCTCTCTCTGTAAGATATATATATATATATATATATATTTTATCTGGGTTTGATTTCGTCGACAAGCGATACGGGAACAAGCCCTCTTTCTTCTTTCCTTTGAGGTTTTGAAGCAGCAGGTCCGGGAAACCTTTAGCGAATTCCCCGGCAGGCAATTGCAGGTGAGAACAAAGCCGGCAACCACATCCTCTCAAAATGGGTCCTTTACTTTTTGAGAAGACCATCAGTCATAACAAAGATTGACACCTCACTCACAATTGAAACTGGCTGTCTTATGTCAATCAGTGAAGAAAAAGCTTCTTATTCCTTTCTTTTCTTGCAATGTTCGGATCCTAGAGCAGATGCACAAATGGTCATTTCCACCGCTCAATCGGTTAGCTGGAGTTGGTTTTTGGATTGTGATACTCAACTTGTGCTCATAACTAAACTCTTCTCTGAAATGGGCATAAAGATTAGGGCAAAACCACGTTCCGGACACACTTGCACCGACTAGTGTCACGCCGGCAACTCACCAATTTCCGAGCCCCATGGCCTCCACCACCACTCCCAAACATCCCCTTTGCATAGTTTCTTATTGAAGATCGGCCAAACGAAGCATTGGAAGAACACCCACAAGCAATCAATCCAACCCAGTTCGACCAAATTCAAGATTGTGGCATGTCATTGACATCATCCTCAGCAATCTCCAGACACAGAAAACACCAAAATCTTGAGTCTAACTGAAAACCCACCTCAGAAACTTGCTCAATTTGCCATAGAAATAGAGATGATGAAGTGCATCAGCCTCGTCGATCTCTCTCTATATATTGTTTGCCTATGCCGGAATCCATGGAAACCACAAACTCTCTCCCTCTCCGATGCTGGAATCCACGGACAAACGGACTGGGAATAGAACTTTGGGGTATGAATTGCTTGTGGATGCGAATTTGGGTCTCCCTCTCCGATGCCCAATTGCCGGATTCCTTGCACGCATCGTCACAGCATCGTTGCCGTTCGGTCTGCCGGTAAGCTCAGTCCGGCCTCACTTGGAGTCACTATTTGCCGCCCCTGTTCATATACTTTCAGCCAAATTGGTTTGGCTGAAGGTTAAACCAGTAACGAGAGAACAAATCTGAGTGCTACAGTAAAAGGAAGCAAAAGGAAATAATTCCTTCCAACAGTAGAGAAAATAGAAAAAGTAAGGATTTTTCACTTTCTCTTCTCTTCACAAAATTAGAAAGTACTTCCTTAAAGTTGAAAAGTGAAAATATTTTACTAAACATGATTTTTACTTTTGATTCTTATTTTAGGAATTGAAAGCAGAAATCAGGAATTAATTCCTGTTACTAAACAGGCCCTAAGCGAATAAAGTGGAGATAAAATCGATTAAGATGATTTGGACCTTTAAGTGCTCCAGTTAGGAAGAGTGGCATGGTACACATTGAGGGTAATGCGAGGGAAAGAGGAAGACCAAGTTCATGTGGTAGAATTAGGAAGGAATGATATCATAATATGCGTGGTTTGACTGAACAAATGATCTTAGATAGAGCGGAATGGAAAAATAGGATTCATGTGGCTGATCTCCAATTGGGAAAAGGGTTTTGTTAAGTTGAGTAGATTTCAACAAGCAGTAAGACCCAGAAGATCATAATCATTATTTCTTCTGATATAGACAGTTCTGTTCTATTTCTACCAATCAACATAGCCGTCTAATGTACCTATAAAATATATGTCTCTTTGTATGTGTCTGTGCATACATACATACATATATATATATAGTGGGAGAGAGAGAATTCTCTTCTTCAAAGACAATTTTCTTTCCTCTTTCTTTTTTTTTTTCTTTTCATGTACAAACAGTTTTACATGTATTCGAAGAATTTCATTTCCTTCTTCTGTAAATTGTGGAAGTTTTGACCAGTGATGTTATTTCATGAATTCAATTGGCAGGAAGGATGCAAATTATAAAAGGACGGTAATTGCCTGCTTCATACAAGCAGTTTACTTGCTTGAACTTGATAGACAAGAAATCAGGACAGAAGAAAATGCTCTTGCTCCAAAATGGTGGATACCTTTCAAGTACAAGCTGACCCGAACCTTAGTTGATGAGAGAGATGGATCCATTTTTGGGGCAATACTGGAATGGGATCGATATGCAGCTCTGGCTGACTTTATACTAATTCGACCCAGTGGTGCACCAAGAGCGGTTTTGGCACTTAGGGGAACAGTACTTAAAAGCCAAACGATCAGAAGAGATATAGAGGATGATCTCCGTTTTCTAGCTTGGGAAAGCTTAAAAGGCTCTGTCAGATTTAGTGGAGCCTTGGAGGCATTAAAATCAATTGCTGATAGCTATGGAAGCAGTAATGTGTGCATTGCAGGCCATTCATTAGGGGCTGGCTTTGCTCTTCAAGTGGGAAAAGTACTAGCTAAACAAGGAATATTTGTGGAGACCCATTTGTTTAATCCACCTTCTGTTTCGTTGGCTATGAGTTTAAGAAACATAGGAGAAAAGGCTGGGTTTGTTTGGAAGAGGTTTAAATCAATGCTTCCTTCAAGTGGTGAAACTCAGGCCAGCAGTGATGAGGGAGCAAAAACTTATGGTGTAGGAGGACTCAAGAATTGGGTACCTCATTTGTATGTGAACAACAGCGACTATATTTGTTGCTATTATACAGATCCACCTGCTGCAGAAGAAAACCATGCTGAGAAGGAGAATGTGGGTCCAACAAATGGGCAAGTCTCTGCAAAGCTTTTTGTGTTGTCAAAGGGAAAACAGAAGTTTCTTGAGGCACATGGGTTAGAACAGTGGTGGTCTGATGACTTGGAACTCCAACTGGCTCTTCAAAACAGCAAGCTCATAAGTAGGCAGCTGAAATCCTTGTATAGCCTTCCAGCTCCACAACAAGTGCTATGCAAACCTCAATAATACAAGGTGGCTGCTTCATTGTTTGCTAAATAACTCATTTTCAATCTGGGTTTCACATTATTGCCAACTTGTTTCACCATGGGTGTTTGTATGAATTGTTTGCTTTACTATATATATATGCATTCGTTCTCTTGGGCAATGTATCTTCTCAAACCAGAAAGTCTGTTATATCACCTGGTTTCCTGGAACTTTCTTCGCTATTTATGCGGCATATTGCCCTAGAATACAAAAGGAATTCTTCCGAGCTAAGCTTAACTTCCATTTCACCTGTTACTTTATGTTGGTAGTAATAAACCAACTAACCTTAGACATTTGAAATACATCTACACTGCTTTCCACATCGTGTAGTTTGGAAGTAGTTGTTTCTCTAGACATTTTATACTAGGTTTATTCACGATTATGGCATTGTGTACTGGTTAGGGTTATGGTTAATTCCTCAACTCTCAGTGGATCAAGGATCCACCCTCCACAACTCTGAATTGAATCTCTACATCGAGAATGTTAATGACGGGTCCTACCTCATCAGGATAGATCACTCCCTGTGTTGGTGAGCTAAATTGGTTGTCTTTTTTTTTTTTTTTGATAAGTAAAAAATTTGGACCATGAGCTAAATTGGTTGTCTTAAAAAAGAATGCGCGGAAGGATTTAGTTAAGCACACTAAAAGGCAGTAATCACTGAATTGAAGAATTAAGGGGCCAAAAATTTAAAATTGAAATGCACAATAGCACAACGTTCATAATATCTAAGTGAAGAGATACAGTACTCTTGGGAAATATGTATCAAATTCCTAGTTTCTATTCTGATAATTGTAATTCATGTCTAACAATTGATAAGAACTCTGTAAATTGATACTCATTACCAAATGAGCTACAACAACATTGTCAAGTCCTGAACCACCATTATAGAACAAAAAAATAACTTGGATTAATTCTCAGTTCACAGCTATCCTTTGAGTTTTTAGCCTGGACCCTTTGTCCTCAAAACTTCTGTTTGCCAAAAAGAAAATCAAGATCATTTCTGACTAATAGCTAATTTTTTTAGGGACACCCAAAATCGTTGCTGATCTAGTGTTACCATATGATGATAGAGCGAGGATTCGATCTGCAAAATAACGTTCCTTTTTTTTTTTTTTTATTCAAAAGGTAAAGAAAACAACATTCAATGTCTTTAGTAAGTAGTAAGTAGGATATTTCTTGCTGGATTTCTGTTTGCACTTTGTGTTCTAAATGATCTCATTGCTTCATATAACAGTGGTCCCGAGCATATAACTATAACCCTAAACACTGAATATAATTTATTTATCACAATGCTCTAAGCATACCAAATGACTTTCTTTATTTCCATTGTCGAAACAATGCCAAAAGCATGCGATTGCAATTCGTAAAATTCTGGATTACGTTTTGATTTCTTGGTTTCTGAAGTGTCCACACTTTTGACACAAATTCCCACTTTCATCAAGACCTCTAAGCCAAATGAATGTAATTGAACTGACCTTGTGCAAGTCTGCTTCAGCTTATTGGTCCACAAGCATTGATATTCAAGTACCTCCACCTAAAACATCCAAACGTCCCAAGAGGGCCAAGAGACCTCACTGCGTGCCACAGCTGGAGAATTTTATGTTTTTCTTATGATCATGGAGTGCATTGATGTCTGGAGGATCTGATTGCCAAGTCAAGGATGTAGATAGCGAGGTTAGAGGAGTCTTAGAGGAGGATGAAGCCTGAAGGTGAAGAAGATGAGGGTCGTGATGGTGGAGATTAGATTTTAGTTTTTGAGTGTTTCTGTTTCTTTCTTTTCACTATTTTTAGTCTATGAATGTTTTTCCCATGCTTAAGCTTTAGAGGTTTCAATGTAAAGGACTATTCCTTAGCGTCGTTTGTTTCTTTTCATGAATGGTTCTTATATATACATATATTGATAAGTAAAAATATGTATATTTTCTTGAAATTATATGGAAGCATGTTTTATAATTTTGTCTGTCTCTATTCATTTTTTCATGCTTTCATTGTTTAATCCTTCCCTTATTGCATCAATTGCTTGTCAATTGCTTTAATTGTCAATTCGTGACAAAAAGGGGTATAAAATCGGAGAAGACTAGAAAAAATTAGGTTACATTAATGATTTGATGTATGGTCTTGTCACGAAATTACCATAGGGGAATTAGGACGCTCATGTGTATGCAGGGTTTTGTAGGGAAAACCTCTAGTTGTGTTGTGGCCACACTATGGCCTTCTTCAACCTTTCACAAGTTCAAAAAGTTGATCACGATTCAAAGAATAGAAGAAGCCATGACCCTATTCACACCCTTGGGACCGAGTAAAAGAGTGTTAGAAGAATGACCCATAGAAGTGTTTCGGAAACTTCATTTATGTTTAAAGTGTTTTACGAAGTATTTCACAATTTGCAAAAGACTGATGGATAAGTTAACTGCATCAGTACATGCAACTTTCAAGCGTCAATACAACTTCCGGACTAGAGACTAATGCATTGGTAGTACACATTCATATAAGCATTGGTAGACATTTTGACATGTTTTAAATAATTTCATTTTATCTGTATTAAAAAGTTTTGAAATTGTTGTAGGCGACATGCTTACTTTAAGGTTGTTCAAGTCGATTCTAATTACTTTACAACTATCTTATTCAATCTGTTTGCCTTTTGGTTATTAGTTTCTTTTACAATTTGTTTGCCTTTTGGTTGTTAGTCCCTTCTAAATAATTTCTTTTACACCAATTTTATTAGCTTACACATGAGTTATTATAAGTCTCTTTCTTTGGTTTCTAAACATATTCTTCCCGTATAGCAACTAAATTGTACTGAATTTCGGAATCTGGGTATGAACAGTGGCAATAATATGTAAATTAAGCAATTATTATGCATCAAAACGATGACTGATTATATTTTGCTTTGGATCCTTGGGTCCATAGGATCCTTTTCTTTGGCTTCAGCCTATTTCTAATACATTTTACTTGTCTAAGAAAGAAAAAAATTTAAGAAAAAAAAAAATTGCTTTGAGTTTTAGGAACCTGGGTATGAACAGGGAAAAGTGGGAATAATATGTAAATTAAGCAAAAACTATGCATAAAGAATAAGGACTGATTGAAGTATACATGATCTGGGATATGTAGTTGTCATACATAATTATCTAGATGAATATTTTACTTGTCTAAAATAAATTTAAAAAATAAAATATTGCTTTGAGTTTAGGAACTTCGGTATGGACAGTGAATAGTGGAAATAATATGTAAATTAAGCGAAAACTATGCATACAAAATAATGACTGATTGTGAAGTATACATGATCTGGGATATGTAGTTGTCATACATAATCATCTAGATGAATCAGTAGTATATACCTCTAGCGAAGTGGTTTCCCCATGGCATTACCCAATAAATTTGAATACATGCATATCTTAGACGTTGTTACACAATATGGTGATAAACATGGATATGTATACACACACAGACTATATATGTATATAATGAAATACAATTTGGAATTGGTGATGGACATGGGTGGAAACATAATTTACAATATGTATAAATACACAGATATATACATATATATATATATATACACAGAGTATGTATACAATGAATACAATTACTGCTTAATCTATAAGGGTATCTAAACCAGGGTATGAACAGTAACAATAATATGGGGAAAACCATGCACATATATAAAGGCTCTTCTTCAGAGTTCTGACTGATGATCATAGGATATATATATATATATATATATGAGATCATACGAACCCAGATAAGTCATAGTCGTAGTCACACACAGAGATCTCCGGCTGATTATGAAAGGGTAGAGCATAACCGTTATGGTAAGGAAACGGCTCGAATTCTAAGAGCCATGACTCTAAATCCCTATACACTGAAAAATCCATCTGATAGTTTGCCAGAGAAGTTGTGGATATGCTTAGCTCCGGTGAAGAACTCTCTAACATGGTGAAAGGCGGTGTTGCTGCCATGCTCGGTTCAGATGAATCGAAGGACAATTCTAGTTGATCATGATATTCTTCAACATGTTCGATCTCAATAACGTGGTCGTCGACAGGGAGTAGTACTGGTTGTTGTGGTGCAGTACTGGTAGTTGGAGGAGGCGGGGATGATGGGATTGGAGTTCCATTGCCGGTAAGCTCTTGAACAAGGGTTTTGAAGCTTGAACAGTCAGTGATGTAAACTTTGGGTCTCAAAACCTTTGTCAAAGAATTGAGTTGCTTCTTCTCAATATTCTTAGATATTTTCAGTGATGAGGATTGACTAAGTAGTCTCTTCCCCATGTTTTTTCAGTATTTGGACCTTGATATCAACTACTACAGTGCTTTCTCTTGCTGTATAGCGGAGGATCCTAAGAGCTATATATATATATATATATCAAAATGAGAGCTATATATATATACATATGAATATGAGAGCTGGGTAGCTAGGTTTATGGAGTTTGATGAAATGGTGGTGTTGAGGATAGATGAATTAGTGTGGAAACACAACAAGTCACGGGACAATAAGATGCTGAAAATGATGTACATTCTATACTAAGGTATGCAAATAATAGTCCTTACCTACCAACTAAATCAATTTTCTCCATCTATCTTTCTCTCTCTCTCTCTCCTGGTCACTGTAGTGTGTGAGGCCATCACAGAAATGCCAATATTTGGAAGTATGTGGATATATTGAAAGATATTTTAAAATTTTTGTTTGGTAGTTAAAAGATACGTTTTGGTCAATTTATGAGGATAAATCCAGGGATAATTATTTCAAATAATATGATATCTTCTGATGTAAGGCAGAATAACAGTGAGGGCACGCAGCCAACTATTCAGAGAGAGAGAGAGAGAGATTAAAAAATAAAAGATGTTATAATGAGGGTGCCTTCATATGCATGAAGTGAGGTCTAAGATATATATATATATATATATATTATGGGGTAGTGTTTGAGTACTTAGTTTGTGATTTGTGAGTTAGCACTTGGTACGGAGGAATGAAATAAGTTAGGAATGGAATAAATCGGAATAGGAATGGAATGGAATGGGAGTGGAAAGGAAATCTAATATATATATATATAAACCAAATATATATATATGTGTGTGTGTAAATATATATTTTTGATGTATATTTGGAAATTGAGGAGAGAATATCAAGAAAAAGTTGACTTTTATTAGATATCGTTTTTTGAGAAAAGTGTGTTAGCAATCACATCGTTGAAGTAAAACAATTTTTAATATTATTTTTATCTCGTATTTTTTTAAGTGGGGAATGAAATGCTCATTCCTCTTGTTGGAAAGTGGAATGATTTTAATAAAAGGACCATCCTCTAAACAAAATTTTATAACCTTATTAAATATGATAATGTCGTCATAACGTCATTTCATACTTACATAAATTTAATCGAATGTGTTCAACTGTCGAACGCTAGTTTGGTAGGTGGGAATGAAATAAAATAAAGTTGAATAGAATGCTTTTAATTCCATTATTTTGTTTGGAAAGTAATTGTAAAGATGGAAAGCCCATTCTCCACCTTTCCAAATAAATTAGTTGGATTCATTCTACTTTGGGACTACATATCACAATTCTATATGTTAACAAATGGAGGAGGGGCATCTCTATTGAAATATATATATATATATATATAGTGAGAGAAAAAAAAAAAAAGTACTACCAGTGTCCATTTTAATTGCCTTTTTTGTAAGTCGAACTTTTTAAGATGATTTTTTTTTTTTAAATTTAATTATATTAATAGTGAATAAATTATCAGATTTATCACTAGTGCCTCAGGTTCAATGCAAAAGATTAAATTAATAATATTACAAAAAATAGTATTAACTTTCGCGTAAAAATGAAAAGGTGAACGGTCTTTTAGAATGCATGGAGTAATTGTTCAAGATATACAATTTGTATATATGTGTATATATATCCCATAAAATTACAAATTGGATAACTAACTTGTGCTAATCATACAGCAAAGAAGTCCATATATATATATATATATATTTCTTGATAAATTAAGTTTAGTTTGGTTAGCGAGAAAGAAAAAGAAAATTTTATATTCTTTTGAGAGTTTGATGAGACAGAAAGTGAATTTTTTGAAAAAAATAGGATTTCCGCATCTCATAAATTTTTCTCAAAACTTTTCTTGCATAAAACACAAGAAAATTCTACTTTTTCGCGAAAATTATTCTTTATATGTTAGTTTTCTATTCTACCTCAAGTCAGAGTATATTGTTGTTTATGTGTTAAGTTTTCATTATCCGATCAAAATTATATGTTTAATGAATGACATACACTGAAAATCAAACACTTTATCATTTCTCAACATATGACAGTTAATGACATTGAACTTAAACCACATCAACAAATAAAATAATAATAATAATTAAATAATTAATAATCCATATCGACACACAAAAATGGATTTTTGATTTTTTTTTTTTACTTCATTTTCTTTCAATTCCACTTTCTATCGTAATTTTTAATCTAACCAAACAAATCCTTAGAGAAATAAAGGATTCGTGGGCCTCATAATGTCCATAAATACTCTTGATGGTAATATTTTGTCTCAAAAGCAAATTTATTCAAGGTGAAACTTTAGACTAACTAAAAAACACGACATATATATATATACTCATATTCATGTGATGTCATGTCTTAAATCTTGATTCATCACATTCTATGTATATATAGATTAATTATTGGACTGCGTTGTTTTACTTGAAAAAGAATTATATATGTTTACGTTAAGCAAAAGATTAACATCAGTGGTAACCATAAAATATTTGGTTTAGTTTGACAATATATGTGAAAAGGAAACGTAAACATTACATCACAACGAAAGCTGGGTTTTTGGATTTGGCTGTCTGTGCCTCTTGATAGTGACTTGTACATTCGAGCCTCTCCCAAAT